GCAAATTTTCAGTATTACATAAGGCTAATTTCGTTTGATTTTTTTTCGTGCCTTTCATATATACACGAAACAGTGTATTGTAAATACATCATGAAGTTCATAATATGAACGATACACACAATAGCGTACGGAACTTTTCTTACAAGAAAGTTACTCGTTTTGAGACAAATTTGTGTCTATTTCATTTCATCCTAAGAAAAGGGCGCCCTGGCAATTTTGCACCAGGGCACAAAGAGCGCACGGACAGGCTCTGCCTTTTTGACAAGTCAGCCATTTTGATTTGAGAAGATTCATAAGGATACATAGAGATTCAAAAGTATTTAAATTTGCTCGAGATTTGAGATTCCTACAGATTTGAAAAGATCTAAAAAGATTCAAGTTTTAAATGTTGTGTCTACCCCCTAGGTAATACCATTTTCATTTTCTACGTTTATGTCTAAAATCCAATCAATAAAATCACAATTTGAGTTTGGCTGTTTCGCTGTTGTTCAGAAATGTATATGATTTTCCGTATATGATTTAATTTGATTGAATTTTTATTCATTAGTTGCCTGTGTATATGAAATGAGCGATTCATGTGTGCTATGGTCAGTTTCTTTCCATCCGTTTGTGACACTGAACAATTTTAAAATGATTGCAAGTGTGTCCCATACTTTCGCCTGACGTCGTCGATTTTAAAATGTTGACTTTATTTATCACTACCGCAAAGGAATTATTTTAATACCATTTTTGAGTTACGCATTGGAAAAAAAAGGTCATCGATGCGCATATGAAGAGTTAAACCTTTTTTTTCGAATGCAATAGAAAACTCGTAGATTTTGGACAAACGGATATTGCAACTTTTTTGACCAGAAAAAACGCCATCCTACGTCGTGCTCGTAAATTATTTTACTGTACATTTAGATGGTAGAGCTTGAACAAAAGTTCGACACTATGCATAAACTTCGAAAGAGCTTGATAAACTTGATGAAATACATATATTTTATGGTCGTTGCAATATCGCTATGATTTTGGAAGAAAGCAAAAAGTAAATCGTATGCAAAAACACATGGGTATGAAATAGTTCACAATAGCTGTCATATGCATACCAAATTTTAAGGCAGTTGGATAAACAATTCGGATACCTCTTGAACATATGTTCAATTTTTCTTCGAAAAATAACCGAATTTGTTCGAAAGGTACCCGAATTTATCATCCAATTACCTCAAAATTTGGTATGGATTCCAACGTGCATTCAAACCCACAATGTGTTTTGACACATGTTGCACGGTGATATTCATGAAACGAATTTTGAATACTTAAACCATTCCAATACGTTCGAACATCATTTTGGATATTTTTGAAGAACGAATATTTTAAGTGTGTCACTAAGGAATTTCATGCCGATTTGGAATGGAATATCGATGACAGTTTAAATTAGCTACAATGCGTAGCGCAATTTCATATGGAATCACAAGTTCAAGATGAAAACAACAGCAATTCTTTCGGTCGTTTTTTTTGTAAGTATAAATTTGGACGAATTTTCTTTGATATTCTCATATCGATCAAGGAATTTTAATGGGTATTTTTTCTCGATTAGGTGTCACTTTTGTACAATGCCAGCGCTAACGATGTGAAGTTTGAATTGTACACTTTAAAAAACAAAGACACGCCGCAAATTTTGTCGACAGATAACATTACGTCGATCACCAAATCGAATTTTAATAAAAATGTGCCCATACGCTTCGTAATTCACGGATTTTGCGAAGATGGAGAAATGAAACAAACCCTGCTTGAGGGTAAGTTTAAAACAAATTCAAATTAACATGAGTATCTAGGGATTAAGATGATCATATCATCGTTGATTTGTATGTAAGTTAAATTTTGATCCAAAACAATGTTACTGCATTGCTAAATGATGTGCCAACATACTTCATTTTAACTCAGACAAATAACAAACATTCTTTCTATTACGTCTAATCTTTCTCACGAATAGATTTTGTAACTGCATTTCATAAATTATTTCAACAGTTTCAATAATCATTTTTGACATTCATTTCCACAGCCTACTTATTGAAAGCTAAACTCGACGTAAATTTTATTTTTGTAAACTGGGAAAAGTTTTCGCAATCAATTAATTACGTTTCTGTTCGTAATCGAGTAGAATCGATTGGTGTTTATCTTGCTTCTATGATTGATTTTATGGTGAAAAATCATCTCGTTTCCATCGATGACATCAACTTAGTCGGATTTTCATTGGGTGCTCATATTTCGGGATTTGGTAAGAGTTTGAATTCCGATTGATTTATCGAGAATTTATGCCAAAAACTGTTTTCTACACCTAGCTGGAAAGCATGTGAAATCTGGAAAATTGCCAAAAATAGTTGGCTTAGATCCGGCCGGTCCACTGTTCTCCTTGACAAAACCTCAAGAGCGATTAGATCGTGAGGATGCAAAGTGAGATTCATTTATTTAAAAATTATATTGAGACGATTTTGGCAAATATTTATTTATTAAATTTAGATATGTCGAAGTCATTCACACGAACGGGGCACTCTTAGGATTCTACGATCCAATCGGAACGGTTGATTTTTATCCAAATTATGGATTGGAGCAGCCCGGATGCCCGTGGACTTCAACTGACAAATGCTCACATAAGCGTGCATTCAAATATTTCGCTGAAAGTATTTACTCACCTATTCAATTTTACGCATATCCATGCGCTTCAATAGAGGATATGAATGGCGGAAGTTGCCAAGGCGCTGAATTTCCAATGGGCGGTGAGCCGGGCGATTACAAGGCGTAAGATAAAAGAGTCCTTTTTCATTGCTTTTTCAATAGAATGAATTGCATTTTCTTTCTTTTTTTGCAATAATAGTAACGCCAGCATTTACCTCTTGACTACAAATTCCGAATCGAGGTTTGCTCGCGGTCTACCTATTCTACTTGCTCTCAAATCATTTAAAGAAGCGCACGATGAACAGTCGTTTTTGGAAAACTTGGCTTAGTTTTTTAATCACTCTCAGAATTCAAAGGAGGCAAACTAAAAAACATATTGTGTAAAACATCAAATGACCCACTGTGTTTTTGCCATTGTAGGCAAAATGTCAGTTTACCTACATTGTTAATACAATGAATGGAACACCGTTCCACCAAAAATGTAGGCAAACTGACATTTTGCCTACAATGGCAAAAACACAGTGGGTAATTTGATGTTTTACCCTAAATGTTTTTTAGTTTGTCTCCTTTGAATTCAAATTTTTCACACTTGAAACTAACCATCAAACATGAATTAACAACTGGTAATCATAACTGGTCATGTATCGGTGTGCGTGAACAGCATACTATGTTTAACCCTTTATCACATATCGGTTCCTAAAGTAACCAGATATTCCAGACGCTATGAAACCACTGAATATTTTTGCATTCTTGTTTCGAAACAAATGTAGAGAATTGAACTAGCTTTCATTTGATACTTTACAGGCTTCAATTGGTTAGCTGAATGGAAAGTTTTTTCTGTTCATGTACTGCTGTAAAAAATGCGAAATTATAGCAGAATTCCACATTTTTCCTCCTCTTATCTTGTGGGTTTTTACATTCTTTTCAATTGTCAAATTAGGACTCGTAGGACCAAAACACATCAATTTAACTTCCTGCATCATTAGTTTTATGAAATTTAATTTTTTCAAGCTTTTATAGTGATTTGACACTTTTGACTCTTTTCCGATTTCCCGACAAATACGCAATTTTTCAAAAATCTAAGTATGAGGTCTTTCTCTATTTATCGTGGCACAAAACATATATCAAAATGATTCAAAAACAAAAAATTGTGCATCAAAGGGTTAACATAGCAGCAGTGAGAACGGATATGTGTTGCATACACGCGACTGCCGCTAGTCTACGATGAAATTTATCGTCACGATAGAACCTCATCGTACTCTTTCGCTTGGGATCGTCTTATGTCAATTCTATGTCAAAATCAACATTTTTAGACGCACTCTTAGAGTTCTTCAACATAAAAATGACGTAAGCACGCAGAAGCTTTTGAGCTACATATATTTTCGATGGATGGTGACAGAAAAGTGCGATACACTTTCAAGCCAATTGGAGTGATGATTCATTTTAATGGTGGTTTTGGTTGTGAATTGCTTTTGCAATGCAAATCAAGTGGTAAGGAGCGCAAATTTCAATGTGCCGATAACATCAATGGATTGGGCACACAAAATACTCTATTAGAATCGAGAAAAAAAATTAAACTTTTTTTTCGATTTTTGCCTGTGTTGCGACCGTCTACATGGGAAGTTTGTATGGAAATACCGGAGCACCGCTGCTATTGTATTGGCTTCAATGGCAAAATGTACACATGGAAATATCACGAAAACGGCTGGATAAATCGGTAAAATGGATCGTTTGATGGCCTAGAATACAAATCCGGTGAAATTTGAGCTGATCCATGGATTCTCAGGATTTGACCTGATTCCAGCACATTAATTTCTTTGCATTGTGGTTAAATTCCATACAAAACATAGGTAGAATGACTTTACAGATGCACATAAAAAAGGAAGCACTGGAATCTGGCCAAATCCTGAGAATTCATAGATCAGCTTGAATTCCAGCGGATTTGTATTCTAGGCCATCAAACCAGCCGGGTGTCTAAACTCCCTTTAGGGAGTTACACCACGGTTCATTTTGACGATTTACCCAGCCAATTTCGAGATATTTCCATGTGTAAATATTTAATAATATTATATTCAACTTCATTGGCTTATATGGAAAAAAAATCGGGCGTCGAAAACTCAAGATATCTCGCTCACTCTTACGTGCAATTTTTACGTGCTTATAATCGGTTGTCTTACGAACAACAGAGCCGCTCGCTTCGTTTCTGTTGGAAAATGATGCGCATTTAACATTGCACACAATCACAAACACGCATGCACATGTTTCGCTTTTCAAGCGATTATGAAAGAACGCAATGAGGTGTTAGCGCCTTACAATATTGAGTGAATTATATTTGTATGCAATAAAAACACATTGGCAACGCTTCTTCTCATTACGTTTGAAAACCACATTGATACACACAACGATATCTATCGAGAAAAAACTTTCAGTAGCTCAAAAGAGCGTGTTCAGAAATTGGGTGACAGTAAGCTTTTAAAGTTTTAGAAGTCGTCCTTTCAATTCAAACTTAATTGATCCACAGAAAGTGTATAAAGAAAAAGGCAAGGAAAAAGGCCATCAGTTACGTAGATTCAACGTCAGGGATTACGTCAGTGTCCATTGAAGTGAATAGTAAACCGAAACAATTGACTCGTTCAGCGCGGCATACAGACCTTGACTTGGTCATCACCGTCGGTAGCATCGTCGGTCTTTTTTTCGGTGCGTCGCTTCTCAGTTTAGTGGAAATTATTCATCTTTGGATTTTGCATCGATTTTGAATTATCTTATAAATATTAAATTCATCAAAATCATTATCAAATAAACGAAAAAGAAAGCTTGATGACGCACAGTTGTCTGCTGTTTG